GTTCATAGCATGACAAACTCCTCCCAAACATCCAACAGCTCCTTACAGCTTCTACCAGCTGCCCACAGCCTCTCTTCTCCTTCTCCAGGTCTGCCTCTTATGCTGCTGGCAGCAGTCCCCAGGTGGGCCTCCCACACCCAGCACCACACATACTAAGTTCAGCTGGGGGTTATAGGTTGACCACCAGTTGTCAAGCCACCTCAGGTACACAGCAAAACTGGGAGAAAGTAAAGAGATTTCCTATATACCTTCACAGACACACACACACACACACACACACACACACACACAATACCTTCCGTATTGTCAACATCTCCCTCTCCAGAGTGGTGCAATTGTTAACAGGCATGAACCGTTTTAACAACTCATTGTCACCCACAGTTCATGGCCAGATTTCTGTGTTGTTAGCATTTACTGAGAGTTGTCCAATCCACCAATGCTTGCTTTCTTGTTTTTCAATCTTGTTTTCCAATGAAATTAGCCTGTGTTTAGCCTTTGTCTGTGTTTTCCTTTTAAAACCTTTTTTCCTGTTTCAAGGGAACGTGGGTGGGTGGGCTTCTGGTAAACAGCAGGCGGCTCTAGTAAACAGCTGCTTTCTTGAACAGAATGTTTCGGGGCTGTGCTGTGTGTAATTCTGAGGTAGGAGAGTCTGTCAGGACAGGTGGGCTGAAGACAGGATATAACCTGCAGTTCCCAAGATTGGAACAGGAGGCTGGGAACAGGATGTGGCAGTGTAACCTGACCCAGAAGAGAAGCGCCCTGTGGGTTGCAGCTAGGATTTGTGGGCAGAGCACCGTGCAGGAGCCATCTGGAGGATGTAAGAGGCAGCAGCCAGTGCCCTTACCGCCACTGTTGGGATCTTGTCCTGCTGCTCCCGCTCCCGCTCCTGCAGGACCTGCCGAGCTCCCGAGCCAGGTCTCCTCTTGTTTTCTCTCCTTTCACTGCTTTCTTCCTTGCTTCTCTTTCCCTCACCTTTTCCTTTTACTCTTTTTTTTTGGTACTGGGAACTGAACTCAGGACCTTGCACTTGCCAGGCAGGTGTTTGTGCTGCTGAGCTAGATCCCCAGCCTTTTACTCTTTTTTTTTAAACATTAAATAAAAGTTGTGTTCAACTGCTCACTGGATGTCTGGACTTGGGACACTGCGCCATCCGGCACCGTTCTATACGCACAAACCTCTCCTTCCGCTCCAGCTCTGCTCAGGACTGTGTGACGCACACTTTACAAAAAAATGTCACAAACACAGAATGTGTCCTCATGACAGTCACGCAGTCCAGAGTTAAAGAATTGAATAGGCTTCGCCTTTCTCCCCCCGATAGCCTTGTGTACACTAAAATGTGCATATGTGAAAAATCTATGCTCACATACTATTTTCACAAAAATAAAACCTTGCTCTCTGTCAAAAAAGATTTGCACATGAACCAAAACAGCTAGTACAATTCCAACAGGGACACAGACCCGTTCTGATGGCACCCAAAATAGTTTTGGTGGACTGGGAATACAGCTCAGCGGCACAAGCACTTGCCTGGCAACTGCAAAGTCCTGAGTTTGATTCCTGGTACCAAAAACCCCACAAAATAATTTTGGCTTTTCCTGGCAATGAGGTTGACAGAGCATGGTTATCATTGACTGTGACTCTTAAATAAAAAAAAAAAGAAAAAAGAAAAGAAGAAACAAAGAAAACATACAATAAACAGGTGATATCTATTTGCACTATGGGAGAACACCAAACATCAGTAAAATTCTCCCACCTACAAAGCTCTTACACATATACATACACATACATATATACACATATGTATAATATATGTGCAGGCCGTACTTATGGCTTATATATATATTAACACATAAATATAACACATCCATGTAATTTCAAGGTGACTATAGCTTTTTTTCAGTACTGGGCTTGAACTCAGGAGGCACTGAACTACATCCCCAGTCCCATTCATTTTATTTTCAGACAGGCCCAGGCTGGCCTCGAACTTGCAATCCTCCTGCCTCAGCCTCCTGAATAGTTGAGATTATGAGAATGTACCACCACCACACTTGGTGACGGCAATTTATTTTGCAGGTAACATTTGCACTAATTCCTAATTCAAATCTGTTCTCCCTAGCACGAGTGTAAACCCATGATTTCAGGAGACCGGGGCACCAGGAGCTGTCTTTGCTGGCAAGTGAGCCCTCTCTGCCCCAACCGTGACTGATAAGAGCTCAGTAAACATTTTCGGAATGAATGACTGACAGAATAACTCTTTTACTGATCGAAGCTTCGAGGGTCATCCTTCTTCCTTGAAATGTATTATGTCTAAGATTTTCTGACTGTGAGGCTCGGAGATCACTGTCATCCTCTGCCTGGTGGTGGGTTCTCCTCTCAACCCAGAAAGAATCACACGACACAGGGAAAAGAGGGCAGAGCAATAGCACTCGTTGTAGAGCAATAGCAGAAAGCAAGACGCTCCCAGGTTACTGGACTCGGGAGGGGACCTGAGGGCTGCCGCAGGAAGTCCTGGTCTAGGGGTTTTACACGCAAAACTGACTACACCTCAGCCAAGCTGAGGCCGACCTACGAGGCCCGGATCAGAAGAGGCAGACTTATGGCTGGGGATTTAGCTCAGCGGCAAAAGCACCTGCCTGGCAAGTGCAAGGTTGTGAGTTCGGTTCCCGGTACCGGAGAAAAACCAAAAAAAAAAAAAAAAAAGAAGAGGCAGACTTAGAGGTGGGCCTTAGCACCTCCAGCACTCTACAAGCATACTTTGCAAACACCATTAACGGTAACTTTTCTAAAATAGCAGAACAAACAGCACAGACATTCTTTACAGAGGCACAGATGCTTCCTTCCCTCCCTCTCTGGGGTGGCCCTTTCCCTGGCTTCCTGTCCCGGTCAGTGGCACCTCATCAGAACACCTCCCACGCGCCCCTCCCCACCGGGGCCACGGTCACTCTGAGAAGTCCTCTCCTCCTCCGCAGGCTCCTGCTCGCCCTCAGCGTCATAACTTATGGAAACGAATTCTTTGGGCCACTGTTGGGTGCCTCTGGAGCGATACTCAAACCTCCCCAAGGGGACCCTAAGCCTAGCCAAGCCTGCCGAGGGCCTGTGGTTCGCTCCCCCGGCTCTGACAGTCTCCCTGGCCCCATCGCGCTCTGCTGGTCTTCCCTTACTCTAACCCGTCCCGTAGTCCAGTTCCCTCGTGACCTCTTGCCTTTGGAGTTCACACTGATACACAACGTCCGATGGGTTAGAATACAAACAGGGGCTTTTCCTGTCATATTTAACGCGATATGGAATGACAGAGGCAAACGGTTCTGAACTATGTGAAAAATGGCATTAAGGCATAGAACTATGCTTTAACCCTACACTTTGGGGCCAAGACTTGATTTAGACAAGAGACTTTCTTGTACTAATTTATGCATTCTTTACGTCAGATCCTCTTTTCCTTTTCCTGGGTGAGTATGGAGCAACAGAAGAACATTGCCCTCACCCTGAACCCGTGATGACAGCGGCCCCTACAGGCGGTGAGCGCTTTTCCCCACTTCTTTCCCTTCCTCTGGTGACTCCTTCCTAGTACCGCTCCCTTTTGCACGCTGCGGGTCCTGCTCGGGTCTTTGCTAGGGACCCAAGAACCCCCATCCCACAACAGCGCCACTGGCTGACCTGCCTCCTGGCCTAGAATACATGATCCTATTCTTGCAGTTCTTCAAAGCTAAAAAGGAAATGCAAAGTGGGGCTCACTCGTGCTGGGCGCTAACTACGGCACCGCATTTTGATGGCGTGACCCTCTTCAGACTCCGGATACCAACGCGGCCACATCGCGTCTGCAGTCACTGCAACAACGCTCGAGCAGCAGGAAATGCTGTTGTTTTCCTTTTGAGCACAGCCTCCTACTGAGCTGTGGTAGAACCGTCACCCCTGATCACCCTTTTGGAGAGTCAGAACTCAGCCCGCTGCTCGCCCTCCGCCCGGCTGTGGCTTCTCTCGCTGCCTCAGGGTGGCGCAGGTATAAGAGGCCACGCAGGACCCAGGAGCCGGTGGGCGCCAGACGCGCGGCACGGATAGGCAGGGGGAGCCCCTGAGCCTTTCCTTAGGCTCCACGTCCCTTCACCCGCGTTCCCGATGGACACCTGGCAAAGCCGTGGGGGATGGACCGCTCCCTGCACCCGAGGAGCCCTCACCGCCTGACCCCACCGCCTGACTCAGGCCAGCACGAGGCTGCTCTTCCTTCCAGGAACCCGCCCTCTCCAGAAACATCGCGCAGAACCTAAGCCTTAGGGTCGCGGTTCCCAAGCTGCGGGATGCCCCGGAGAGCGAGCAAGTAATGCACTACGGATTTAACCCCACACACATTGGGATTGAACCCAGGGCCTTTGCACTGAGCTGTTTTCCCCGCCCTTGTTTATTTGGTTTTGGGAGACAGCATCTTGCTAAACCGCTAAGCTGCCCAGAGTGGGCTACAACTAGTGATCCTCCTGCCGCAGCCTCCCAGCGTGCTGGCCTTACGGGTTTGCGCCACCACACCCACCTTGGGCTCTCACTTTTTTTTCCCCCGGTACCGGGAGTCGAACTCACGACAGGCAGGCGCTGTGCCGCTGAGCTAAATCCCCAGCGCCAAGGGCTCTCACTTTTTAACCGAGGTGTGTGGCACGGATGTGACAGCAGGACGCAGCCGACCAGGCGGGCGTGTGGCCAACCCGTGTCGGCCAAAGCACCAGAGAGGCGGACGTGGCCCAGAGCGGAGCCTCAGCATGCAGGGCGGAGCGAACCTCAGGGGCGGGGAGAGAGAACAGGGGAGGGGCGTGGCCCTGGTCGGGGGCGGGGCTTGAGGCTGAGGGGAGGCTGGGGCGGCTTGGGGGCGTGGCCCTGAGGCATGGGCGGGGTCTGGACCCTCTCCGTTGCCCAGGAATGGCTCAAGGGAGAAGCGTGGGCGGGCTGCACGCATGGAGGCGGGTCTGAGGGCGTGGCCAGGCGTGGCGGGGGCGTGGCCAGGCGTGGCTCGGGCGGGAGCAGGCCCTTGGTCCCCAGAGCGCAGCCGCGGTGCGCGGAGTCGCACGCCGGAGTGCTGAGTGCCCTCGGCTGGCACGGGTGCTGGCTGACGCCGAGTGCTCGCACGTGCGCCAGGAGGGTGAGTGCCAGCCGGGGCCTCTGGCACCCGAGGGAACGCTACGGGAGTGCAAGGGGGGCAGAAGTCTGTTCCGGTTGTAAGTTGACGGAACGATGTGGTTCCTCGCACCCGGCCTGGAGCATCTTGAAAATACTGCGCTTCACCACCCGCGAACCGGCCGGCGTTCTGACCCGAGGGGTCCCCTCTCCCCACCCTCCACCCCGGGCGGTGGATGCTGGGTGTGCGCCGTGCAAAGCAGTGGGGAGCCCCCTGCGTGGGGCGCAATCGTGTGACTACCCCAGCGCCCCTTCCAAGGACGTGGTAAAGAGCAGGGGGAAATCAGCTTTTGAAACCATTAATCTCTCTGAAAGTAACAGCTTCTGTAACCTTTGATTTCTGTAAATTTCAGGCAAAGAAATGCATACGAAGGAATGAGTGAAAGTCATGCAGGGGAACGAATGAGAATAAGCGCCCAGCAATGGGAAACCCCGGGCGCGGAAGGGCAGTCAGGGGAAGAGGCAGAGGGAATAACGCAGTGAAAATGTCGAGAGCTTCTGGTTGCTGATCCAAAAGAAATCATGTATACACGAAAGTGTCAGTGCACCCTTGCTATGGTGTGTGTCGTTTAATGGGCACCCAGAGCGTCTCCCTGCAGACCTGGGTACGTGCAGGTTCCCAGAAAGAGTTAGGAATGGGACGCTGCGGATAAGATGCAGAGGCTCACTGGTCACTGCTCTGTACCTCTGGGACAAGCCCCTCCTTTCTTGGGCTCCAGTTTCTTATTTTATGCCCCTAGGTGAGTTGCAAGGTATAGAGAGTCACAATTCAGGTGCCTGGCGAGCTTACCAGGCCGCCAGATGGGGATGGGCATTGTGACCTGGGCCCAGCCAGGGGCGGGCTGTGGAGTCCTGGAGGCGAAGAGCCCAGGCGTGGCTTGCCTCGGGGCATTTGACCCCAACCTCTGAGAATCTCAGGACGCGGTGTTCACCGAGTCTGAAGGGACAGTGAGAAGCTTGTATAGTGAAATCAGGCTTCCCCCACGGTCCTGCCGCATCCTGTTAACTTTAGGATAAACTCCGGCCTCAGAGATCAGCTCAGCTGGACTCCACCCAGCTGCTTGACCATCCCCCACCTACTTTTTTTTTAGCCGCAGTCCAGCCACGCAGTCTTTCTCGCTGTCGCTCCAGCTGTGCAGGCTGGTTCCCACCTCAACCATTACTTGCTGCTTTACCCGCAGGACCGCTGTTCCCCCAGATCTTTGCCTGGCTGGCTCCACACTTCCACTCACTTCCTTCTTGTGCGATGCCTTCCTGGACTACCGGTCTAGAAGAAAATAGCAAGCGAACCCCTGCCTCTTCACCTACTAAAGTACTTAATTTTCTCAGCGCTGGCACTGTTATCATCATCACTGGTACTTAATCTCTAACTGGAAGTCTGTGCTTTCTTTGCCTCTTAATTGTCTGTTTCCCCAAAAGACTCTTAAGTTCTATCCTTCTTTATTTTGTCCACTTCTGGAGCCTCCGCACCACGGCAGTACCCAGTAGAGGGTGGCTTTCACCTTTTGGCCTTTGAAGAATACTGCTGCGAACATGGGCGGATCAATGGTTCTTCTAGACCCTGCTTTCATTCTAGCGAATGCACAGAAGTGGAATTGCTGCATCATGCGGTGCTTTCATGTTTAATTTTTTGCAGAGCCTCTTGACTGTTTTCCATAGCTGAGCTATGTTACCGCCCCATTGGTGGTGTGGGAGGGTTCCAATCGCCACTTCCCACCTACACTTATTTCCTGGTTTCCTCCATAGTAGCCAGTCTGGTGGGTGTCAAGTGGTGTATTATGTGTAGTTTTGTTTTGCGTTTCTCTAATGACGTTTCTCTAATTGGTGTTAAGCGACTTTTCACAGCTTATTGGCCATTTGTGTATCTGTTTTGGAGAAGGGTCTGTTCGAGTCCTAAGCCCTTTTTTGTGTGTTTTTGTGTTTGTGTCAGTGCCTGTGCCAGCCCTGAGCCACATCCCCAACCCCCACTTGGTGCATCTTTCAGTGGAGTTTTTTGTGTGTGTGGTTGAGTTTAACCTGACCTGCTTTCTCTGACAGTGCAGGTGGGTTTCTTGGAGGCCCCTCCAAGGTTATTCTGCAGATGGCTGCCCTGGGATGAGGACACGGGCCTCATTTGTGCTTTAAGGCCTCCTGGAGAGAACTGACATTTTTGCAGAAGGGCCGAGCCACACGGAATTCCATCCCCAGCGCCTGGAATCAGGTCACGCGCCAGCTGCAGCCTGTGGTACCCTCTCTCTTAATCCTGGGCCCTTCTGTGCCCTTGTGGTCCAGAAGGCTGAGGCCCGGAGCAGGGAAAGGAGTGCAAGCAGGTCTCATGGGTACATGTCCCTGAGCTGGGATCAGGACCAAGTCCGTCCAATGGGACGTCTGCATTGGCCTAGGCCACCTCCCTGGAGAAACATTTGGGGTCTCTGGCCGGAAACCAGGTCTAAAGCAAGTCCATTCTGTTGCAGGTGAGGAAAGGGCCCCCCTGGTACCACCTAGTACCGTCCTCCGGTACCACCTCCTTGGCTTCCCCAGCGCCAGCTGGGACATCGTTGCCCAGCAGCATGGTTTTCAGCTCTGCCCTTCGTCTCCCAGGCTCATGTGTTATCTCAGGGGGACTCTTGGAGAGACAGGAAGGCCGAGGAGGCGCGCCTGCTTCCCACCTGCGGCTCATTTCCCAGGTTCTGCTGTCTAACGCTGCCTGTGCGGAAGGTTTGAAGTCCTCTCAGAAAGAAATTTGGACAGTACTGGCTTTGCCATCTTTCATGATTTGTCCTCTGAGGCCTTCATCTGCAGAGGATGCCTTGCCGCTCTGGAGAAGCTTTTGTCCCCTGCGTCTGCCTGTCTTTCACGGGGCCGCAGTGCAGCCTGGACGCTTAGGACTTGACCTCCCCTCTGCCTTTCCCCCTCTCCTGAGTTTATTTTCTCTTCCAGATAGCTGCTGTCACCAAAGAGAGCAACTTCGCCCGAACATCCAGGGCCACCACACTGAACTGGAGAGAGAGTCCATCTTTCCCCAACATGGCAGGTGATGGCTTGTTCCGGGAGAGTTAGATGTCTAATAAGAAGTGGGATACATTCCTCGTTACAAAAGAAATCCAAACACAAAGCCATTTTGTGTATGCTGTTGAGCAGTATCTGGAATGACCGTTTTGTATGTGCTTATTTTATTGTCCATTTCTACTCACCCCAGAATACACATTTCTCAACATCGGGGGCCATGCCTACCGTGTCTTCACCCTGCCAGTCCCTGTAATCATCCCTGGGACAGAGTAGGTCCTCAAAACTTAGGTATTCACGTATGTCTTTATGTTCTTTTCCAGTGGTGAGGGTCAAACCCAGGGCTTCATGTGTGCTTAAGCATGTGCTCTACCACTGAGCTACATCCCACTGCCCATCTTTACCTTTGTATCTTGCGTGCCCACATCATAAACACACACACTCTCTCTCTCACACGTACACACACACTAATTTGTCACTTATTTTTTCAGTCAACAATATAACCTGGAGATCTTTTCACTTTAGAACATACAGATTCATCTTACATTGTAATTAGAGATTTGGGTGCTTCTACGTTGGCACTAACGAAGTTGGGAGCAGATAATCTTTGCAGGGGAGGACTGCCCTGTGTTTTGTAGGACATTTAGCAGAATACCTGGACTCGCCTCGCTAGATGCCAGTAGAACCACTCCTCCCACCGGCATTAACAACCAGAAATATATCCAGAATTAAGAGATGTCCCTGATTAGCAACCATGCCCCCAGTTGAGAAATGCTGGTGTAGATTTTTTTATTTGTACCCATTCTTTAGGTAAACGCCCAAGTAATTTCCTGGTAACACTGGAGTTTTAGTCAGTTAAACAACTAATAATTAGCTCACGGACTTCAACCATTATACTCAGTCACATGCTTCAAAGCTGTTTCCAGCCAATGTGTTTTTTCTCAAGTTCCTAGAGGAAAACATGTTCAGACATGTACCACGTTTTGGGCAGACCTGTCTCCCCTTTACCCTCCCTTGTATCTCTCCCGTACTCACTCCCTTATCCAATCATCGAATCCCTTCTATACTCGTGTCAGCTTTTGTTTATTTGTTTTAGGTTCCACATAGCCGGAAAAGAATGCTATGCTTGTTTTTCCAAGCCTGGCTTATTTCACTTACCGTGGTATCTCCACTTTCATCCACTGTGCTGTAAATGACATACCTTTGTTCTCTGTGACTGAGTAAAACTCCCTTGTGTGTCTGCACCACATTTTCTTTCTCCTTGCATTTGTTGACACATAGGCTAGTTCCACATCTTAACTATTGTGGATTTAGCTTGAAAATTTTCAATTAAGAATTTAACCTTTAAGTGTTAGATGATGTTCTAGGGGGCAAACCAGCAGGCTTCCCTCCAGAAGGGTTCAGTCTGCAATCGCACAGGCTGTTCTGAAGGAAGAGGCCGTGCATCGAAGGCTGCTGGAGTTTATGACGCAGCCAGTGCCTGTGAGACCTGCCCTTGGGATCCTCTTGGCCCAGCTTCTGCACCAGAAGATGTCCTCTCAGAGTCCACCTTCCTCAAGGGACCAGGGGTCAATGCCTCACCGCTCAGGTGCCAGGTTTTGATGGCCCCTGGGGAGATGGAAGCAGAATGTGCCCCATGAAAGGTGTCATGGCCGGCGCCTGCCCATGTGAGATCGGTACAAAAGCTTAATTCCAGTAGCTTTTAATTTTGATCTTATAGGGAGTGTCTGGGTCACTTTGTCATCACTGGGACAAAATATCCAACACCCACAACTTCAGGAGGAGAGGTTTGTTTTGGCCCAAGTATCAGTCCATAGTTGGCTGCTGCAAGGGGGAAGGTGGCGGCAGAGGGGCAGGCAGAAGAAAAGCTGCTCAACCCTGGCTGTCAGGAAGCAGAGAGAGAAGGGAGGAGCGTGGAGGGAGACAGACCCTTCCAGGCCACGCCGCCTGGGACCCGACTCTAACTGGGATGAGCAGCTCGGAACTCAAGTGAATGAATCCACAGCCGAGTGCAGTGTGCGCAAGATCCAGTCACCTCCCCCACACTTGAGAAACTGAGGGGCTGTTGGAGATCTAAACCACAACTCAGAGTAAGACTCAGACATCTCATAGAAGCTGCCCGAGTGAGATCAGGCTTGTGAAGGACTTAAGTGTATGTACTGGTGTTTCTAGGAAACGCGATTTGGCCCTGTGTGTATAGGTTGATCATTCAGAACCCGAAGATCCAAAACTTTTTGAGCACGTGGCTAAAATACTCCAGAATATAAAACTTTTAGCCCAAAATTTCAGATTTGAGAGCATTTCTCATTTCAGATTTTCAGAGTAGGGATTCTCTGCCTAGAAAGTCTATGCAAGTATTCCAGAATCAGAAAAAATCCCAAGGCTAATACACTCTGGCTCCAAGCACTGCAGATAGGGATACTAAGCATGCATTTGTAAATCCAAGTAATGATGAGCTATCAGCTAATGTAAATGATGAAGTGTTTTAAAAATGTTCATTAGTTTAAAATTGCCACACTTTTTAAAGTTTACGATTTCTAAGCTTGAACTGCAGTGATCCACATAAAGCTTTACTTCTCATCTGTGCCTGCGCTGGGTTTTGACCCCGGGCTTGACCCTTCCGCAGGAACCTTTTCTTTATTTTTTTTTTTTCTGTCGTGTGGGGGGAGTTTCCGGTACTGGGGATCGAACTCATGACCTTGTGCTTGCCAGGCCGGCACTGTGCCGATGGGCTAAATCCCCAGTCCTCGAAGGAACCTGTTCTCCTGCCGCAGGTAAGAAGGTGCTCATCGTCTATGCGCACCAGGAGCCCAGGTCCTTCAATGCGACCCTGAAGAACGTGGCGGTGGAGGAGCTGAGCCAGCAGGGCTGCACCGTCACCGTGTCTGACTTGTATGCCATGGGCTTTGAGCCCAGGGCCACCAAGGACGACATCACTGGTGAGTCATGGCCCGCGTGCTGAATTTCTAAACTTTTCCTCTCACTTTCTAATGTTAAAAATGTCTGGAAGAGCTCATGCAAGAGCACCTGATATGCTAGCCTCAGATCAGCAGTCCCCAGCATCAGTCTCTCGCCCTGCCCCTGCCCCCGGCCTCCTTTCCCTCCCTCGCCCCCTGCTAGTTCCCTCCCTCTGCTTCTGAGGGTCGGTGCCCAGTCAGCACTCACGAGGCTTTCTCCACTTGCTCTCCAGCTTTTACAAAAACAGTAGTGTCTCATAGTCATTGTTTTCCTCGTGCTACTCTCAAAAGTATTGCATTGAACGGCACCCTCACGTTTAGTTAGCCCCAGTAAAGGTCATCCTAAGTTGTTTCTGATTCTTGGCCACGAGGAACAATGCTGCCGTGAGTAATCACAGGCAGAGAGGTTTTTGCGTGTGTGCTGGTTTATCTACAAGTGAAACTGCCGGTCAGAGTCGATGTGCATCTTTAATTTTCGTAGATGGTATCAAGTTGCTTTCCACAAATGCTGTCCGGTTCACACTCCTGCCAGCAAGGTTTGCAAGCTCTCACTCCTCCCAGGCACCAACAACGTTACAAGTTGTTTGAGAATTGCTGGTGTGATGGTTGGCAAAGTGGTCTGCTGGTATGGTTCTGATTTATCTCTGTCTGACTGTAGGTGAGGTTTAATATCTTAATATTTTATATTCTATTCCTTCATATTTATTTAGATTAATATTTTAATAAAATATTAACTCTGCTTAAATTATCTGTTGAATTTTTTATTAGGTATTGGTCTTTTTTTATTAAAATGTCTTCATATATTAAACAGATTAACCTATAGCATAGGGTAGGAGTTACAAATATGTATAACCTCTTTTGTTTTCATTTTGGTTTGACTTTGTTTATGGTAGCTTTGTGCACACAGGATTTTACTTACTTATTTTTTAATCAGTCCTTTTCTTCTAGGACTTCTGAATTTTATGTCATACTTACTTGCACCCTAAGATTATACGATGTTTTAATAGTTTCATCTAGTGTTTGACAGATTTATCTTTGTAGATTAAAATTCTTTGTCCCTTTGAAATTGATTTTTGTGTACAATGTGAGAGAAGCGTCCAGTTTTCTTCCGAAAGCCTTCTGAGACAGCTCATCACCACTTCCTGCAGGATCCGGGGTTTAAAATCGCACCTTCACTGTGCTGTAAATTCCCACTTGTTTGATTCTCTTTACTCCTTTCATCCTGTTTTTCCTTGATTCAGTCCCGCTGGATTTTACTTACGTTGGCAAAGAACATAATTCATCATCTCATAGCACTAGGTCACTCTTGTTTCCCGTTTTCTCCTAATTTTTCTAACACTTTGTGTTACTGTTCCATAAACTCTTTTGAATCCACTTTGCAGATTGGAAAAGAAACTTCATGGTATCTGCCTCGAGGTTCTGCTCAATTTAGAGATGAATGTATGGAGAACTGACCTTTGGTGCTTGCTGACCCCGGCTCTGAGAAGTCCGGCACCCCTAGTTCTGGTGGGTGGTGGGATGGCCTGATTTTCACTTGGAGTGAGAGCCGCTTCTCCCCCTGCTCCCCCAGGTCCCCTGTCTAATCCTGAGAACTTCAATTATGGGGTGGAGACCCATGTAGCCTTCAAGAAGAGGGCCCTGACCAGCGACATCGTTGCTGAACAGAAAAAGGTGCAGGAAGCTGACCTAGTGATATTTCAGGTTGGTTTTTCCTCCGGTGAATATATGGAATCAGGTGCATCCTATGTACAGACTCCTGCGAAATGTTGTGTTATGCACTCCTGGAAGTGGTATCAACTTTTTTAGCACGCTTGCACACTTAAACTAACTTGATTACCACGGGTAGTCACAACGCTTTAGCTAGCCAGTAAAGAGAGTCGCACAGCCCTGACTACTCGCGCACAACCCTGAGCTGCTATGCAGAAGAATGAAGGTTTCTCTGTTAGCCCAGTGATCCGAGAACGTCTGGATCATGTTAGCTTGCTGCTTGCGTTCTCTCTCCATCCCCATCCCCGTCCTCACATGCGCCAGGCCACTTGAGAGCCAGACTTCTGTAAGGGACGCCTAGCAAGGTCACTTGTGCCAAGGCACCTCCAGCCTTCAGTGCCCTGATCAGCAAAAGGAAAATCTTTTGTTTCCATCTTCTTGCCGGTTGCCTCACACACGCATGTGTGCACGCGCACACACGTGCCCAGCACCTTCCGAGTGTTTATCCCAAGCCCCAGGAGTGCTGACTCAGCCCCCTCCCCAGCAGCACTTGGCAGGTGTGCGGCCCTGAGCCCGGCAGTTGAGTTAACACCTGCTTTGGGGGGTCGCTGTTGAACAGAAATGCAAGACCAACCCGAAAGAAAGGGCATCTGTCACAGGCCCTGGTCACTTGTGTCTTCTGGGCTTCAGGGACACTTACCCATGTCTGGAGCTCCTTGGGCGCCTTGGCTCTCACCATACCCTGGGGACCAGATGCCCTAGATCCAGAATTTCCAAGCAAGGGATCTCATGGATCCCGATCAACTCCCAGATGCTAACAAGTCAACCCAGACACAAGGGCAGCCCCTTTCCGCCCACCCCTAGCTTGTCTCCCTCAATTGCTGGGGCCCCAAGGACCGCTGTCCCGGGCCAGGACCTGGTTTTCACTTTCCCTGACTGCCCGGGGTCAGCATCGGGGGCTGGGAGCGGGGGACACAGCACTAGTGTAGTACCATCTGGGCCCAGCGTCAGCTCGACCTCTCCCTGTCCACACGGAGCACCAGAGGGCTCACGCAGATGTTCGGCTCCCCGGCAGCTGGGACGGGGAGGACGGCGGGCCTGGGTGCAGTGGCCGGGTGGGTGAAGCAGCCTGGCGTGTGTTTCTCCCTGTGTGCTGCCCAGTTCCCGCTGTACTGGTTCAGTGTGCCGGCCATCATGAAGGGCTGGATGGACAGGGTGCTGTGCCAAGGCTTCGCCTTCGACATCCCGGGATTCTATGACTCTGGTTTCCTGAAGGTGGGTGCAGGGCGCTGTGGACGGCTGTAGTGGGAGGCAGGAGGAGGGGGACCTGCCAACTTCCTGTTCTACTTTGCTTCCTCTTCTGAAGCAGCTACTGACTGAGCACCTGCCGTGCGGGGTCCAGGGGTGAGCATCGTTTCCAAGCTCAGGCGCATTCTGTCTAGCAGGGGACGTGAGCACACTCCCAGCAGAGGAGGGCCGGGGCTGGGGTCAGACGGGGGCTGATTCGGAGGTCAGCCTGGCGCCAGTGGGCAGGACATCTGCCCCGTGATGCAGCATCCGTCCCTGGCCTTGCCTGGGTCCACCCCTGAGCTTCCCGTGCCTTTGAGGTGGAACGAGACAAGGGGCCCCTGCCAGCCTGCACGGGAGCTGGTGGAGGCGCAGTGCGGCGCAGCTGTGAACCTCTTACTGAAGTCATTTCCCACTGAAATTCATGATTTTTGGAGTTCTAAAGCCTCAGAAAAAGAACTGCAGATGGGGAAAACAGCCAGAATAACCAACAGAAACAGCCAGGGCAGCTTGTCCTGGATGGTGAGTGACGCTGCAGTTTATTAGTGGCTGCCGTCACCTCTTCCACCCCAAGGTCAGCGGAGGACGCCCCACCCGACACCCAGCCCGCTAGAGTCTGGGCTGGTCGTAGTTTTAGGTTCGCTCATCCGTCGCTGTGTGTTTTGCCACGTTTCTTGTTGGCATGTGGCGCTCACCAGTGGAAGACGGGGATGTTAACGTTTGTCCGCCCCCAGGGCCCTCGCTCAGGTTTTCCTTGTCTGGCTACTGCACTGACGCGTTTGCTTTCTCCTGCACAGACGAAATTAGCCCTCCTTTCCTTAACCACGGGAGGCATAGCCAGCATGTACACGAAAGCCAGCGACCACGGAGACTTCCGCTACTTGCTGTGGCCCCTGCAGGTGAGCAGGCCGAGAGGCGTGGCCCCCACCCCCGTGCACCGGCTGGAAGAGCCGCCAGCACGCCACATCCTTTCCGTCTCGTTACGGAATCCGGTAGCTCTCTCCCCCTTTTAACTTTTCCCGTGGCGGCGCAGTACAGGTTGGCGAACACACGCATTAGAATTGCAGGCTTTGCTGTCGTTTGACCTGAAGCCAGGCGGGACCTGGGCAGGGCCTGGCTGCTTTGAGGGGACTGACTGGCCGCTAAGGTGGTGCTAGGTGTATGTGTGCATTTGTGCATGCATGTGTGCGTGTGTGATGACCCCGGTGTAGGTGTAGAGCCATCCACACAGGCTCGTGGCGCTCAGAAAGCCAGCAGCACCCTGGGCCCTGGTGAGAGGCGGGTGCCCTGGGCCCCACACCCTGGCCAGGCTTGTGCAGGCCCCAGCCCACCCCGTGGAGAGAGCACACAGCCCCTGTCAGGACTCCAGACTCTGTCCTTCCTGCCCTGCCAGCCCCACCCTCCCATGCTGCACCCCCTGGAGGACCTCTGCTGCCAGGTGCACCCTGGGCCTAGCGCTGGCAACCTGCCACAGAGCGGGTCACGGCAGGCTGGGTGTCCACGTGCAAAGCTGTGGTGGAGATGAGGGGCAGGCTCCAGGGCAGGGACCCTGAGAAGACCCGCAACCTGAGGCCAGGTTTGATAGCCAGGATGCCTGTGGAGGTCAGAGGAGAGCACGCATACGCCCACTTGTGAGCTGGCTTTCAAACTGTAGCTACCGGGCATCTGTGGGGTATCGCTACTGGACCACATCATGCTTCGCATGTGGAGAGCCGTGCGTCTCAGCCCCAACACTGCAAAAAAGAAGGCACTGTGCCTTTTCTGTGAGCTCTGTAGGTTGCCTTGCCCACCCACCTGTTGAGATGTTGAGCTTTTTCTTCATTGATTTTCAGCACTGTGTATGCTAGTGAAATTAATCCCACTGTACTTTTCAGAACCTGAAGGTTTTTCTCCACCTACATAGTATACGTTTATTTTCAAGGTCATTCCTTGCCTTTGTTACTGTTTTCTTTTTGGATTTATGAAGACTGTTGATTTTCAAAGATTATTTTTTAACCCAAAGTATTTTCTGATTGCCAGTAATAAAGTCACATTGTTTGAGGAGAAACCACGCAGAAGGTGGCGTGCAGGTTTCTTCTGCTCCACCTGCCCGGAATGGGGCAGGCCCAGCAAGTGTGGGTTTTCACAGAAGCACAGGAAAGGATGCCATAACTGGTCAGCTTCATTCTGCACAGGCTTTGGTCTGTGGTATTCGCTTCCTTTCTTGACAATAAAGATCTTTCCTGTTTCTTTAGTTTGCAGAAATATGTACAGTGGTGCCTTGATTCGCTGTGTGAGTTTGGAAAAGATGGCCGTGTCCGTGTTCATGAAGGATAGACGGCCGGGGCTGTGTTCGTTACCTGATGGACTTTGCAAAGGAAAACAAATTTTGCCAGATGCTTCTGTTTGTTCACGAACAAAAGCATTCATGAACCAAAGTACCACTGTATTAGGGAAAAGAGAGACAACATGAAAAATAGGAATAACAAGTCAGCCCTCTTAACCCACCCCCTAGCAATTGAATAATTTGATTTATTTTTTTAAAATGGTTTATTTTCTCATATCCTGTCTTAGTTACTTTCTTCTCCCTGGGACACAATAACCAAAGTCTAAAACTTAAAGTAGAGGTTTATTTTGTCTCACTGTTTGTAGAGGTTCCAGTTCGTAGTCAGCTGGCTCCCGGGCAGGGTGGCATGGGAGTCGGTCGGGGCAGGGGAGAGACAGCTCCTGGCAGGGCAACAGGAATGGGAGAGAGATTAACAGAGGAGACACACCTTTCCGGGCCACGCCCCCAGCGACCCACCTCCTCCCACCAGGCTTCCTCTCCCAACATCACAGTCAGCTGTACACACACCAGTGTCACAGCCCTGTCTGGTCATCTCCCGAAAGCCCGCCTATGCGCTTTGGGGGACATCCAGGTATAAACCCTAACCTAGCCCATATATGTTCCTAGATACATACTTTTCTGTGAGGTTTGTAGTTGTGTTGTAAAAGTGGCGTACCACAAACACTGCTCCAAATTCGTTGTTGTTTTCGTTTGCTAAATACTTTGACCAGACTCCCCTAGTGGCACACTATGGCTGGAGTAACCTTCCCCGGGGATGAGTTCAGAGTGTGGATGAGCCATAATTTGCCTCGTCAGTCAAAACTGTAATGTCCAGTGGTAGAACCAGGGGTAACCTCCGATTGTACATTGCAGCTACCTGAGTCCTTCCCCTCATTAATGAAACCCCACAGCCCCAGTTCCGGGGAAGCCCTCTGTTTTCTGTTACATTGTAGCATTGAAGTTGTTTTAGGATTTCCTGAAAATGTGCTTCCCTCACGCCCCCCTTGAGTCACTTAATCTACCAGTGCCTACCGGGCGTGGCCTCTGACCGGTGCTGTCTCTTCTTTGTGGCTTTAGCACGGCACGCTGCACTTCTGTGGATTTAAAGTCCTCGCCCCCCAGATCAGTTTTGCTCCTGAGTACTCATCCGAGGAGGACAGGAAAGCAATGGTGGCCTCGTGGGCGCAGCGGCTGAAGAGCCTGTGGCAGGAAGAGCCCATCCAGTGCTCGCCCCCGTGGTACTTCGGGCAGTGACCCCGGTGCCTGAGCGCGGCACTGAGACCCACGCATGCGCCGCAGAAGACGCTGTCGCAAAATAAGTTCCCGCAGAGAAAAGCAGAACCAGCTTGTGCTGTGCACAATGAGTCTCGCCGGGTCACTTAATCATCCAATACACTAGCTTGTTTTGTGGAATTCTGTTGGCCAATCAGTGTTCAGCCAAGTTTTCATTTCTTTAGCATTTGTCTAATATCCGTCTCACAATGCTCAGTCTTCGTGGTGGTTTTGATTTCTAGAGAGTTCTCTGGACATGGAGCTGGATTTGTTCTTTTTTGTTTCGCTGGTTTTATTTCACCGCTCATCTTGAGAGTTTCTGTTCTTTTGTAGTACAGTTTAATCCATTCACAGCTAATGTTTTAGTGCTGTTTGTACTTATTTCTTCTGTCTTGTTTTTTTCTTTATACTTGCATTATGATTGTGAAGCTTTGATTGAACAGCTACTTATCATGTGTTTAGCTGGTACCATTTGGTACCAGTTACAATTAAAATTTTAATGCCTTAGCCTGGTGGCCTCCTGTGACTGTGCGCATGGTCCTGGAACGGGACAGTCAGTTCCCTGAAGCACAGGTGTGTGTCCGTGGAGGCTCCTCCCTGAGTGGGAGTTTAGGGATCAGACGTCACCACCACCATCATCGTGACCCGCCATCGTTGTCCTCCCCCTCCTTGTCACCGCACTGAGGACACAGCTGCCAGCTGCGCCCAGGGGACCTTGTCCCTTAACATCCCAGCACCACCACAGAGCCCAGCCTCTCACACGGCTTCCTGTTGGAATCGTCATCGTCACACCACTTTGCGCCATGTCTTCTGCATCTTTTCCCTGCTCCTCCTCAGCCTGTCTTCACCTGCGTTTCCTTCCTACGCTTTTCCATGTGACGGCCATCGAATACGTGTCCAAACACATCTTTTCTTTCTTCCGAGTCTTCAGAACTCGCTTCCAAGTCTTCCCGAGCACAGTCTCAGAGATGTTCTCTTCCCACTCTTGCTCGGGACCGTTTTTCTCTAATTTTGGTGTCATCTTCAGGCTGTTTGCCTGAATATTCTCAGTAATGTCTCCACAACATCTCTTTGTTTTAAGGCCCTACTATGGAACTGTCTTCTGGGGGCCTCTTTTTTGGGATCCCCTTCTTGAGTTTATTTCAGAAATATTTGCTTCAAAATTTACCCCCTTTTCGGTTTTTCTTTTTTTTTGGTACCAGGAGTCGAACTCAGGACCTTGTGCCTGCCAGGCAGGTGCTTATGCAACTGAGCTATATCCCCAGCCCATCCTTCTGGTTTTTCAAGCATCTTTTCTCCATATAAGTTCTTTAAGTGCTTGGACATTCATCCTGGATGTGCTGAGGCACTGCAGAAATGCCATACTTTAGAAAGCCCTGCCCTTCACAAGGCAGAAGTGAGGTTGGAACACTGCTGGTATCTCTTGGCTCTGGGATTAGGGCAGTGCCACTTGATCAGTGGACTGATCTAGCATTCACCCATCCTTAATCCCAGCACTGAACCATAAATCAATCACAAACTCTAGATATGGCTACCTCCAAAGAAGCCCCATCTAAAAGTACATGAAGCTTTGAGGGGACAGCTAGACTTGAACCATAACAATGTGCTACGTGCAGTGCTTCCAGCTGCTTGTTTTTTGAAAAATGAGCTGAAAATAAAATTTACCAGGATCAGGTCCTTTATCATTTGAGGTCTTGAATCAGTGATGGGAATTTTTTTTTTTTATTAGCACAGGCAGCACACAATGATTACATGCCTCATAAGGACTCGGTTTATGTGCATAACACATCTTAATTCCTTTTCCATCTCCTCCCTGGCCCTGCTCTCAGTCCTCTTCCATGCAAAAGATCTATTTTCCTATTTCCTATTACCTTCAAAGATGGAAGTTTGGTAGTGATTTCTCCCAGCATAAACTGGCAGTGTGTAAGAAGATTTTTACTATCCCCATTTTACAGATGGGGAAACAGAATCACTGAATTGCAGTAGCTTGTCCAGTGTCCCACCACTACAGATGGGAGAGCTGAGGGCAACCAGGGTGACCTTTTCCAGAGCTTGTGCTGTGGACCACTGGGGCTGAGGTGCACAGTATGGGCAACTGGAGCAGCAGTGAACACGGCCATTTTTAGGAAGTAACCCTCAGGGACTCTGGTGAATTCATAGTAAGAGCTGTAAAATCTGAGCTGTCCTGTCCCAACAAGGACTGCGTGTTTTACGGGTCAGAGATTCCTTTGCCAGTAGGTTAAAGTGCTACTGACACGTTCATTTCTTGCTCTGTGGCAAACAAGGTATTTCGAAAAGCTTTGCAGCAGCAAAACTTCTAAATGCCAGATGAATCACCAACAAACATACCTTTAAATGCATCACTGAGATTAGAAGAAACGAAGGGAAACCTCTAAGCCGCTCCCAAACTTTCCACCCAACAACAACAAAAATAGGTGCTGATAGTAGAATAATAACAGGTGTGAAATCACAGGCTGCCTCCAGAACTTAGTTACTTTTTTTGTTGCTGGGACAGAATACTGACACCCACAAGTTAAAGGACAAATGGTTTATTTTGGCTGAGGGTTTGTAGGGATTTCAGGCCTTAGTTGCTGGCTCCAAGGCAGGGTGGCATGGCAGAGGGGAATCTCAGAAGAGAAACAGTCCCTAGCATGGCAGAGCAGAAGTAGCAAGCCTTCCTTTCCCCTTTTTCTCATCTTTGTTGGGATAGTGCCACCCACCTATTGGTTAGTGCCACCCACACCCAGGGTGGGCCTTCCCATTACCCACACCCAGAAATACGCTAAGCCAATCCGTGGACTAATTTAGTTACCACACCCCTAACCCATATTCACATACCCTAGATCCAACTACCTATGAGGCCTATGAGGCCCAGCCAGCGGGGAGCAGAACAGCTAGATTCAAGCCATAGCAGGATCTAATGCTGATAACTAACCTGAAAAAATGGAGTGAGACCAGACTCTGGGTGTGTGTGACATGGGTAATTGAACTGGGCTGCTGTGTAGAGAGGCTCTGCCTTTATGAAAAAGTAGGTGGAAAAAGACACCAGCTCTTCAAAGGAGACAGACAGGTAAACTATTTCCTTCTCAGCTCTGGATGAAAAAAAATAACTCCTGTACCATGGAATCTTTGATTGGGCTTTATTTCACCCACACTTAAAATCTATAGAAATGAAGTGACTCCAAGTGATAGCAACCTGTGGTATAGGAAAAAATAAACACAAAGTCTTTGTGGAGGGAAACATTCCATGGCTGTGAGGATTCCATCTGCTTAAGATCAACTTAATATAAGCCCTCCAGTGTTACCAAATAAGACAGCATGACTGAATAAATAAAGCTACCGAACATTAGATTTAATCACCCATGGGCTTCAAATATTGGCATTAGAAGCAGTATAACAAAATAGCTGTGTATGAACTGAATATACCCATGTTTAAAATGTTCAAAGACTTCAAAAATGGCAGGACAAATTTGCAAACTAAACAGAACTTCCAGAATGGAAATACATACAAATTGGAACTAAAAACTGTGACTAGGTTAAATATTAGACACAGATGAGAGAGAATTAGTGAACTGAAAAAGATTTGAACAAATAAACAAATAAAGGGGAAAGCCATGTTAAGAGGCATAGAGAATGGATAAAATGATGTAATCTGGTTTTAACTGCATTTCTAGACTGAGAAAATTGGTGGGTGCTGTATTTCAAAGAGAAGAGCTGACAATTTCTCAGAATTCATAGTAGGCACTAGTTCTCAGATACTTGCTCCATCAGTAGTCTCAACCAGGGCAGATAAATCCAATATCCAGACAGAGCATGGTGAAACTGTGGGAAAAAAAAATCAGGAACAAGACAAGGATGTCCACTGTCACCACTCCTATTCAATATAGTTTTGGAAACATTAGCCAGAGCAATTAGACAAGAGAGAAGTAAAGGGCATAAGGACAGGAAAGGAAGAAGTGAAATTATTATTATTTGCAAATGACATGATACTCTACATATAAAAGGCCGAAAATTCCACCAAAAGACCGCTAGATTTAATAACCAAATTCAGTAGCATAGCAGGATATGAAGTCAGCACTCAGAAATCCATAGCATTCCTGTACACAAACAACAAACACACAAAAATTAGGGAAACCACACCTTTCACAATAGCATCCAAAAAAATGAAATACTTAGGAATCAATCTAACAAAGGAAATAAAAGATCTATTTAGTGAAAATTACATTATTCCAAAAAAAGAGATCAAAGAGAATTTCAGAAAATGGAAAGATGTTTCTTGCTTGTGGATAGGAAGAAACAACATTGTGAAAATGGCCATACTCCCAGAACTGTTAATACAGATTCAATGCAGTCCCAATCAAAATACCATTAGTATACCTCACAGATCTGGAGAAAACATTCCTAAAATTCATCTGGAACCAGAAGAGACCTAGAATAGCAAAAGCACTTCTGAGCAACAAAGTCAAAGCAGGAGGCATCACAATCCCTGACTTGAAATTATACTACAAAGCTACTGTGATAAAATCAGGATGGTAGTGGCAAAAAGACCTGAGGATCAATGGAACAGATTAGAAGATGCAGACACAACTACAAACATCCAGCCCCCTTATCTTTCACAAAGGGGCTGACCATGTTCATTGGAAGAAAGATAGCCTCTTCAATAAATGATGCTGGAAAAACTGGCTCTCCACATGCCAAAGACTAAAACTAGACCAAAGTCTATCACCATGCACTAAACTAAAGTCAAAATGGATCAACGATCTAAATATTAAAACAGAAACACTAAATCTACTGGAGGAGAAAGTAGGTAGAAATCTTGAAGACAGGGTTAGGCTGAGAGTTCATGAACAAAAATTAAACTGCGTGGGAAATACTCCAAAGAGTCAACACTGGGATCTCATCTTATTGAAAAGCTTGCACCTCAAAAGCAATCACCAACAGAGTAAAAAGAAAACCCACAAATTGGGAAAAAATTTTAGCCAACTGTCCCTCGGACAAAGGACTTCTATCTAGAATATATAAAGAATTAAAAAGATCAGGCCCCCAAAACTCAAAGACCCAATCAAAACACTGGCATCTGAGATGAATACACACCTCTCAGATGAATAAATACAAATGGCAAATAAATATATGAAAAAATGTTCAACATCATTGGTCATTTAAGAAATGCATATTAAAACAACACTGAGATTCCATCTCAACCCAGAAAGAATGGCTATCATCTAGAAATCAACCAATAACAAATGGTTGGCGAGGCTGTGGATAAACAGGGACCCTTCTCCACTGTTGGTGGGAGTGTAGACTGGTGAAACCACTGTGGAAATCAGAGTGGAGATTCCTCAAAAAACTAAGATTAGAGGTCCCATTCAACCCAGCTATTCCGCTTCTGGGTATTTTCCCAGAAGTATTGAAAACATCATACCACAGTGATATATGTTCACCCATGTTTGTAGCAGCACAATTTGTCATAGCTAAATCTTGGGAACAACCCAAATGCCCATCAACTG